TCAGCAGGGAAAATGGCCGCGTATCCACCTCCCGAGGTGGAGTTCGCAAACCGAAGCAAAATTTTGTGGCCGGAGCTGGTCAAGTTCGTTAACAGGAGCGTTCGTAACCCGAGGTTCCACTGTATTCAGTAACAAAAAATGACAGAATCTGAGGCAGAATTTGCAAAGAACTCACTTTTGTTCCTGATGTAATGGCAGTATCATTTTTCCCCAAACAATGGGTATACTGTAGCCAGTTATCAAAGAATAGAGCACAAACCCTACTACATTTTAGCACAATAATGGGTCAAACTCCAATACAATGAACTGTTATTGTGAGAGAAACAAGGTTTAAAAGGTCTATGATTTAGCATGCATACTTATAGCAAACTACATGAGTATAGCAGTATTAACTGTGAAAGAAGAAAGAGTTTTTTAAGTGGGGTAAAATGCATTTACAACTGCAAAACTGCAGGTTTTTAAATGAACATATTTTAAAATAAAAAGAATATACAGTATTGCACAACCTTTTAAGCTGTAGTTGTATGCACAATGCTTTTCTGTTTTTCAATATGACTGAGGTTGAATTTTTTTATTATCACCAGCTTTTATTAATTTTCATATTTGTTTCTACTGTTTTAATCTTCAGCCACCTTGAAATCTACCCTACCCAGCAGCATAAAGCATTTTAATGAGGTAGAAAGTAAACTGAAATTGAAGCTTCAAAATAAACGAATAAAAAACCCTTTGTCAACAAAGAAAAAAGAGAGGACAACATGTATTTCCTCTTTATTATTGTCTTGAATTTTTCACAATTCAAAGAAGAAAATAGAGGAAAGTATCTCAGTAAAATAATACTGCAGGACTGGCACATACCAAAAAACCTGTGGGAATCCTAATCAACAACAAAAACAAAAACTGTGAGAAGAAAGTTCTGAAAAACAGTGGACACCTCAAGTAAAATATTTTCAAGAAAACAAGTTTGGAATCTGTGTTGATGCACTGCTAATGAAGCAGACTGTAACACTGACAACAAACTTTTTTATCAATTTACTACAATCTCGCAGCTGAAAATGTTTAAGGTTTACCATTTGTTTAGCATGCATAATGCCCTAAATGTAACACAGTAAGATTTTTTGAAGAAAAAATATAAAGAAAGTCTACAATATAAAAAAAACTACACTATTTTTATAGCAAAATACTTTAAAAAAAAAATCTAATAGCAAGACTTTTCCATTCTTCAAAGCCCAATGTTTTTTTCTACATCAGCAGTATGATTTGATAATAATAAACTTATGATATTCAAAAGCAGTAACTTCCAGGCTAACAAAAAACAATGTTGTAGTAGAAAGAAGTTGATCCAAAATGTTAATAGCGTTTTCTAATTTTCTGGCTTTCTCATGTCATCACACCAAAGAAAAAAATAATCACATCCATACCTATTTATAAAAGGTGGTACTTTCTCAGAGTAATGCATATGATAGAGGAAATGGGCAAACTGAAAAGGAAAGTTCACATCCCACTTCATGTAGCACTTCGGCTTCTACTGAAAATAATATTTTACTGGAATTCATTATCATAGTGTTCCCTGATTGGTTCCCTTATGTTTGCATATATAATTAAAAATACATCCCAGCTGTAGAAACACAATGCTACACTGCTGTTAATGTGTGTTGTACAAGCTATGCTTTAATCTGAATAAATCTCCCAACTGCTCTATTGCCTCTTGCCAAAAATTCCCTTTCCCCCTCCAGACAGAGGCTGTATTCCAATTATGCTACTGATTGGAATGAAACTACTGGAGGGGGAGGGAGTTTAAAAAGTAGAAAACCCTCCATTTCAAAATACTACTTCTGAAATCAGAAAGCAGCACTGACAATTTAAAAGCAGTGATAATATTTAAATACTTGGTGAAATTTTACCAAACTTTCCAGAACAGAACATTCAAAACACTCTAATTTAAGTTTCTCCATCCAAATGCCTATGTTTTGACAATGCAAGACAGCCATACTTAGAGGGGTTTTTTCTGTAATACGCCTTCCAAAATATGTAACTTATTCCAGAGAAGCTATAAACCAAAATTTTTGAAGAAAGTTGTAGTTAACAAAAAAGGCTAGGCAATTCACTTAACATCATTCAAATGTCCAGATAATATCAGATAAAAACTGAAATACTTTTACATCATAAAATGCTCTATCCTTCAACTACAAAGAAGTCCCCAAACCCACCTTTCCCTCTAGGCATTAGTTTTCATCCAAGAAATGACAAAAACTGCTGGTTGCATAAGGAAGGGTTCACTTGCTTTTTATTACCACATTCTCTTATATAAGAGAACATAGCTCAAGATTGTCCCTGGACTGCCAGATTTTCAGGGACTACTGGGGCTGCAACAGGAAGACAGATGAGAAAGATCTGTTTAGTCAGTTTACTAAATTAAATCAGTGTTGTTTTACTTATAAATTCTTCCTTGTTTTATCATAAACACATTTTGCAGTTTTACTATATGTACATAATCAATGTCATTTAAACAAGGGATATTCTTTAGGAGAAAGTATTTCTGAAAGTACATTTTACCATGACAGAGTAAAAATCCTAACACTTTTCCCCCCAAAGATGCATCCTCTAAACTCATGGCTACGGTACAAAAACATCACAAAAAAATCCACAAAATATATCAAATTTGCATCTCTTTTCCCAAACACCAATGCATGGCATACTGTTTTTGAAAATCAGGGGAGCCTGAAGAAAGTTAGTGATATGGTCCAGCCTTTTGCAAAATCAAAAGAAAATATGTGTTGCCTGGTTACATATATTCATGTTCTACAAGTTTCTTATATCTCAATTACTGAGTGCTCAATGGTCTTGAAGGTGAGCTACTGTTGCAACATCTAAACCCAATAGAGTAATTCAATATGAAACTGCTATACAGCCATCATTTGTTGGCTTTTTTTAGAAAGAGGACTTCTAATGCTACCAATCAAAAGTTATTGTGCAGCTCTTTGATATTTTCCTTAATGAAATATAATGCAATATACAGTCAAGCAAAAATATTACGAATGAAGATTGTTGTCATCTGGATTCTTCATACAACTCCATGAATAAAACCCATAAAAGCCCTGCCTTAAAGCACCCTGTGCTTAAATAAGCAGACAATACAATACAAAAAATTAAATTTTCTTATGGAGACTATAGTAGATACTTAGGGCAAAAGGCAGTCACAACCAGGGCTGTGGAGTCGGTAGATAAATGCTCCGACTCCGACTCCGACTCCTCAGTTTTTTGTACTTCCGACTCCGACTCCTCTCTATTAATATGTGAATGTATTTTATACATTCCTTGAAGGAAAGAAAGGCAACATACATGTCATTACCACAGGACTACTGGCTGGGAAGCCAACAGTCTACTGTATTGAACAGTTTAAGCAAAAGACAAACACAATGAAAACAACAAAGTTTTATTATTATTTTTTATTAATGAATCAAGTGGCTGGATAGTAGCAGCAGGCATAAACATCAGGAACAGTAAATTTATTAGTTCAAACATACAAACCACATTATTTGGTTGTTTTAGAACAAAAACAAAGCTTATCTATATGAACCAAAAACAAAATTTGTAAAACCTAGAAATGGTTTATATTAATCTTGAAATGTAGTTATAGGCTTAGCAAATGCAAATCAATTCAATGTAGAGTTCTAAGGAAGAGAATTGCCTCTGCCAGATCCTCTTTCATAGAGGCTCTTAAGTCAGACTTTATTATTTTTAGGGCTGAAAATAATCTTTCGACGCTGACTTGGGTGGGTGGCATTGCAGTAACTATTCTGGCCACATCACTAACAATCTCTGGATAAACAAGGATGGCTTCTTCAACAGTAAGTTTTGATGAGCGATCATACTTTTCAACTTCTTTTAGTGCTTTATAAAACTCCTGTTGGAATTTTTCTATTTGGACATTTACTGGTTCTGTAACGCTTATGCGACTTCGCTTTCCTTTAGCAGCTTCCATTTTGTCTAAGAAGGAATCAAAGTCTAATTCTTCATTTGAAGAAGATGATCCTGAGTTATCACTATTGCTTAAAAGAACTTCATCCTGTGGAGGTATTTCAGGTCCTAATCCTTTCATGCGAACTGCTACATCATAGAGGGCCTTTTTCCCAGTAGCAGTCTGTTCACTGTTCAACAAAAGTCGGCTCATTGGGTCGACATAAATAGCCGCTAACAAGATTTCATTTTCCAGCAAAAGACTCTCTCTTTTTATCATTGAAGATGCAATGCCCTCAGCTATTAACCCTCCATTTTTGTTCAGGCGATATAACAGGCTCTTCCATTCCAAGAGGAATTTACCCGGGGTTAGATCGTCACATTGCAACCTTTTGGTGACAGTGAAGGGGTGAGAAAGAAGGTTCTCCAGCTCTTTTGTTTGTGTCCACTGGCTTTCTGTTAATGCAAGGTTTTCATTGTCCATTTCTTCTATAAAGTCTTTAAGTTCAAGCAAACGCTTCACCATTAAATAAGTGCTTCCCCAGCGAGTTGGTTGATCCAAAATGGCTCCTTTTCCTGCACGTCTTTTCAAAATTGCATCTGTTTTAGGTGCCCTGGCTGCAACAGTTACTTGCCGTAATTTGCCAATTAGTGTAGCTGCATGGCGATCTTTTAATCCATCTCTTATGGCAAGTTGCAGTGTATGAACAGCACATCGCATATGATGAATAGTAGCAAGCTTCAGTGCTTCTTCAAGAAAGTTGTCTAAAAAAATGTCAGCATTCTCTTCAGTTTCTAAACTTTCTCCAATACTTACAGAGCTGCCTTCCTCTAACTCTAATATCTGTTTGTTACCTTCTTCATCTGCGTTCATCTTCTCAATTGTGCTCAACATGTTAGAAGCGTTATCTGTCACAACACATAAAATCTGTTCCTTTTTAATTTCAAAATCTTCTAGAACACCCTCCACTAAGTTCTGAAGGTAATCACTGGTGTGATGTGCCTGAGTGTCCTTTAATCCGAGGGTCCGTGTTATTCTTTTGTTATTTTCATCCACAAATCTAACATTAATAGCGAAATAATTGACTCTGTGACGTGTGCATGCATCCATTTTAAGGAAGACAAAACGTCCTTTCAGAACTTTCTGTAGTTTTTCCTTTTTACATTTGGCCTCCTCAATTATAAGTTTCCTTATACTTTCTCTTTCCAGAGAAACACCAAGTTTTTTTGCCATTTCTCCATTTAGGCCTAAAAAGGCTGTATGTGAAAAGAAGGATAGTGGTACACTATTCTTTACTACCATTTCAATAATGTGGTGTTTGAATTTTTCTGGTGTCATCCTTATGGTAACTTTGTCAGATATAAAGAATTTTTTTATTTGTGATTGTTCTCCAGAAGATTTCTGAACGTTTTTTGTCACAGAAGTAGATGCAATGTTTTCATCGCTATCTTTCTCATTCACGGCTTCTAACACTTTGGGGTGAAAACATGAAGCATGTTTCTTTATCTTATTTAACCAATGATAATTTTTTTGCCATAGCCATAAGGATTTTTATGACTGAATGAATAGATGGGAAAAAAACAGTGTTTTTGGAAACTGGAAGTACGGGCTATGTTTCACACCCTTTGTTAGAGTGGGACATATTAGGTAATGAATTCTTAAATTGATTTTGGAGTCCTTGAACGCTACCACAGATGTCCTAGTAGCAGTAAATCGGAGATTTGGGGTTTATGAACCATGAGTGTGAAGGGAAATCAAAATATGTCAAGGGGTGGAGTATAGCGGCAATGCGGAAGACCATTGTTATTTCGAGGAGTTTAGGTGACATCATTTGATTTCTCTTGCACACATTAAGAAAGCACACTTTGAATCATAATAATGTTTAGCTGGTTTGTTTTTCACTTTTACTTAGAAATGGGGGTGGGGAGCAAAACCCTCAGGATTGTTTCAGTCAAGGACTAGCTTATCTCTACAGTTCTCAGGCTCTGGAATCCTTTGAT